AAAAAGAAGCAATACCACTAAGTGGTGATGTAGGTCCCTTCAGATGGTGTTGTGTTATCTGCAACAAATCCTGCTGTCATTTCACCTGGAATGTTACTGAAACACCACAGTGCTGTCAGGCATATGTGTTAAACCTCATTTGCTCTCTTTCAGACAGAACCTCAAAGTCTCATTTGCCATGGAGCTCTTTCCCCCTTGCCCCAGTATGCCTTGCAGCCAACAGGATCTGCCTTACCCTGTGCTGCCGCCTTCACCTCTGCTCCTGCTAGCCCGTGCCAGGAGCTGGGGCAGCGCCAGCGGTCCTTGCTGCTGGCATCACAGGGAATGACACAACTGTGAAAAACTTTGCATTCCTCAACCTTTTTGTTTTTCCCATGGAAAATAATTTGACTTTTGGCATCTATTTTTGTTTGAAATAATGTAGGGAAAACATACTTGAATGATAACTGCACACAAATACTTCCTGTCAAGCAAGACAAGAGAAACCCTACTGGAAGGGTACAGGAGGTAGAATTTTTAAATAATTTTTTCTCCTTTCTCTGCTTTCCAGTGTATTAGGTAGAAGCTACAGCATGCCAAATGGAACTTCTGTGCGAGCCACCTCCTTTCTCCCCATAGCTTCCTGACAAGTCCCTTGGAGGGCAGCTGCAGGCTTCCTTCTCCCCTGTGTATGCCTTAGTCTCATCCTAAGTTCTTTCCTATCAGCAGTCCTTTCCGCTTTCCCTATGTTGCTAACATTTCCTATGGCTTATTTTTAGAAGCTGCCTGCTTCTCCACTGCCTAGTATCCACATCTAATCCAGGTGTCTTGCTGCAGGCGTTAAAAACTAGACAGTTTGACATCTTGTAAGTAAAATAAAATCAGGGGAAGAAAATGACAATTCCTAGTTTACCCTATGGAGCTGGTCAGCTTTCAGATGCACAGGGAAAATGTTTATGGGTTAGAAAGAGAAGCTGAACATTTTAATAATGATACATTTTTTATTTGCTAACAGAGAAGATAGGGGTGCTGATGCAACTCCTTCTTAAGGAAACTTCTAGGACCAACACTGAGTTTAATTTCTGAAGTCTGTGGGTCTGGTTCAGTATCAGGCACATCAGTTCTGGTACAAATTCAGTGAAAAAAATAAAATATGTTAAAAAAGAAAAAAGGACACATGATTTTAATCATGGGATACTAAACAATCAGCACCATACCTGATTTCATACTTTTATTTATCTGGAATTCTATTTTTTTGTAGGTTTTTGTCACTTGTCTCTGCTTTTTTTGTTGCCATTTAAGACTTCATTCCTTAATAAAAACCCACAAGTTTTACAATAACTATACCATTTTGTTTCTGCTCTTTCTGACTACTTTTTGGTGAGGGAGACTAATTTTTTCTTTATGGATTTTTCTTTCAGGAACAAAGGCTCAGGAAATTCTCATACGATGTGCATCTCAGGGGAAGGGGCATCTTTGTTTATCTACAGGATGGAAATTATTTAGCCTTTGTGGTTTCTGAAAGATGTTTGTAGACAAAATGGAGCTCAAAATACAGCCTTATCCACAGTGAAATATTAATCTCCTTTCCTGTCAGCTTTCCTAAACTAAGATTTCGCCTTGTCTGTGAACATTCCCTTGAAAAGGGCAGCTTGGATGGCTTCCACATCCTAACTCTTTGATTTGTGGCAGCTACGATCAAGTGGGAATAGAGCTTGTTACAGTAATCCATCAGTGGTATAACACATGCAGGAACATCCCAAGGAGGGAGACCTTGGGCGTCATGGGGAAGGTTAAGGCTATAATTTCTCTTAATGTGATTTTGTCTGGCCTTTTTAGAATTTCATCCGCTTTGGGCAGGGCCACTAGATCAGCAACCACAGACTGAAAGACTGTGCTCAATTTTGCATGCTCTTAGACCTAAAATTTTTTATAAGTGACAGCAGTGGGTTAAGCTTTCTTCCACTTTTTATAACTGAAAAATAGAAGACTCACTTGAGAGTACATCATACACAGTGGTAAGGATTTTGGAAAACAAAGGCTCTTCTCTTTTATGGTAATATCATTTCAGTGATTAACTTTGTTCCAATATAAAAAAAAAAAAAAGTGAAATAACTTCTTAACAAAGAGAAGTAGTGGGAAATGAGAAAGTAATACACCTAAATGTTAGGAGAGAAGAATCACTCAAATTAGAAACAAAACCATAAAAAAGTAAAATCTTTCAAACATGAGAAACCAACCTCAATGAAGGCAATAAACCAGCCTAAACAGAGACTTACAAGAGGAAAACTAGGAGAAGAGACGGAATCCAAAGAGAAAATATCTAAGGATATAAAACAAAAGCCACAAATTCCTTTATGGTATAAATTAAAAAAGGAAAATATGTAGGAGGTCCGGAATCACTGGGGATGAAAGAAACTGAGGAAGATAAAAGATAGAAAAGGGAAGCAAGATGACTTCTTTTCATCCAACTTCACCACAGAGGATGTTGGGAAGAAACCTATTCTGGTACCTGCTTTCATTTTTCTGTATTACATTTTTGAATAGATGTGAACTAATAGCAAGGTTTGGAAGCTTGTTAGCAGAAACAAATGTGTTGGAGGAGGATGGTATCTTACATAGCAGTAAACAAGTAGAATACAAGAATTCTGACAGCAATTAAAATAAAGAAATTGAGCCACTGGTTAAAATGACTATGAATATGTATGAAACTGCACTTAGTAACTTGGAAACTCAGCCAAAAGTTTCCTTAGAAAAGCAGTAAGGTTGATGCAGAGGTCTAGGTTTATTACTATATCTGGTAAACTGGCTGAAAGGATGAATAACATGAAATTTAATACATCAAAATAACTACTATATTATGTATGTAGTGAAAAGAAAATTAGATTTCAAAATCTTTACAAGAGCCTCATGAGAGGCCACCTATGAAGTGTGAGGTTAAGAGAGCAAAAGAAAAGAAGGAATACACATTGATTCTCATTTGATGACAGGGTTAACAGGAAGTGTCTCATGGTTAGCACTTTGTATTTCAAAATTATCTGGAAACAAGAAAGCACATTGAGAGGGTAAAATCTACAGATGGCAAGGAATTATTCAGATTAGTCCTGACTGAAAATTATTAGGGGTTTGAGAGATAAACAGTAGATCTGCTTCAGCAGATCGCAGTCATTACTGTAGATGGTAACGAAGGGCACACTGCAGGCAGTATCGGACTCCTTTGTGCAGTGGGCCGAGTTCTGAATTGCTTGATCAGCTCAGGAGGCTGACTGGATGTCCTGGTGAACTGCCCAAAGACAACGGCTGTCCAAAGGATAGCAATAGTCAAAAAACCACAAAGAAACAGAACATCTAACAAAAGACTGCAAAAGCAGAACGGACAAACACAGCGAGCATATAACAGTTATAAGGAGAGTCTGGAATACTGTGCTTACTATTGTGTAACCCACTCCAAAAGGTAAGATGGAGGAAAAGTGTGGAAAAGGTCTCATAAAAAAGATGTAAAAGGATCATTCAAGACTTAGACAAGGATCTGAGCAGTCTAGTTTAATGTCGTCCTACACTGACAAAGGTGATGAATCAGATGACCTTCAGAGATCCTTTCCAACCTAAGTTATTCTGTTAAATAGAAAGATAAAAATGTTCAGTATATTCAGACAGTAAATCCTGAAACTGGCAAATTCAATAGCAGACAAAAATAGATTATGAATTCATTGTCACAAGAACTAAACTTGGAGCCAAAATAACATTTCATTTTTGCAGTTTTAAAACAAATTTTATTATGCAGGGTTATTTCCCCCCCTCAACATCCAAACAAGGTGGCCTGTGGGAAAGAAATCATTCCTCTATTTGATGCACATAATGAGAATTATGGCTCATGAAATAACATTTTTCTAGGAGAAATCCTTCTCCTCCTCCTTAGAAGTTTCTTGTGATCTTTTTTCAAGCAGCTGGTATTGTCCAGTGTCTGAATCAAGACACTGGAATAGATGTATACTAGTATTATCTGCTGTAATTATTTCCATTTCCACATGAGAAATGACTCCTAAACAGAATTTTTATGTCTGCTATCTCCCATGTTTACTACATTATTCGAGTAATGTACTGTTTTTAAGGGTCATTCATGAAATCTCACACTCTGTGAGCTCCAAGAGTGAGTTTATAGTGTTTCTATCATGCTTGCTAGCAGCAATTATAAATAACCTGCATACCACATTGAGCCATTGACCAGAGCTATGCATTAACCAAGAGATCATAATTTTTTGAAAATAGAAGCTGCCACAAGTTTCCTTTATATCTGTTTATTTCCCTTAACTCCTAATAATCAAAATTATTTTCAGGAGGAGGACAGAAAAGATGAGTACTAAAAAGAAGAAAACTTCTTTACTTTGAGGGTGACAGAGCAGCGGAATAGGCTGCCCAGAAAGGTTGTGGAGTCCCCTCATCTGTAGATATTCAAAATCCACCTAGACGTGATCTTCTGTGACCTATTCTAGGTGAACCTGCTTTAGTGGGGAGTTGGACTAAATGATCTGCTGGTGTCCCTCTCAGGTCCAACCATTCCGTGATTCTATGAGTCAAACAAAGTATTTCAAGAACTCTTTAATTCTGGAAACAATCATATTAGCAAAAAATTCATTCTGTTCATTGCCCTTAAAATACAATCAGACATCTGCCTTAAAAAAGAGATTCCCAGAAACAACAGAAAAAACATATTTGAAGATACTGGTGAAATAAAATTTAAAAATAGTTCCTAATAGTTATATACATTAAGAATGTCATAACTAATGGCTGTCTAATAGTGCATTGATGAGGGAACCTGACAGGCAGAAATAAAGCTCAGAAGAGGGAGTGCTGGCATCTTTGAAATTCAGTGCAAATGACACAATGAATCCGCATTTACAAATAGTGCTGCAACCAGGGAGGAACAAAAACATCAAAGAATAAAATAAAATCTTAAATATTTCACTTTTAAGATGTGTTATAAAAACATACATCTAGATGTATTTACCCACTGGACATACCTTGGCTGACCTAGTGATGGCCCCGATCTCTGAATACAGATCAGTGCTGTCTGGGAACTTTTCCACCACCATAGTGCAGACATGGTGCAGCAGGGACTGTTTGTGCACTGTGTCCTTGACTTCTGGAACCTTCTCGAGGTAGCTTAACTCAAAAGCTTTGGCCTGTAAGGGGAAAAAAAAGGAGGAAAATAAAAATAAAAATGTTTACTCCTTCACATGCAGATTAGTAGGCAAAAATGATGACCAAGAAGGGGCAGAAGGAAAGAAGAAGAATTCGATGGGAGAAGAAACTTATTGCTTTAATTCATTTTTAACTTGCTGAAGACTAGGCCTAAAATCAATCCATCTGCAGTGAAATGACTCCTGACACAGTTCTCACAATTTGAATGGGGAGCATCAACATTAAATTTAAGGAAGTTACACTAGAAGAGTGCCTAGCTCTGCATTTCCTTCAGATTATGCTGAAAGAGGCAAAGAGTACCCTAACACACATTAAAAAGTAGGTTCTGTTTTCTAAAATACTTTTCTGGTACAAAATAAATGGTGTGTGGCAATTATCATAATGGTTTTGACTTCTGTTTTTTTGAAGGAAAAAGCTGCAGGGGAAATGCTGGGACAGCAGGCTTACGTTGGTTCCATTAAGAAAGTTCCCAATAGCTAGTAGAGTAGAGAGGATGAATCCCAAAGTTTTATTGTGCTCCAGTTGGTCCATTCCTTCCTTCAGGTCTAGCAGTGGTTCTGCAACTTCCTGTCATGAGAACAGAAAGAAGAAAGTGAAGGCTGCAGTTGTCTAGTTTTTAATTCTATGGTTTAGATTAATTACTGCAAAAAGTTCCTGAACTGGCGTCTTGCAGGGTGTAAACTGGCCATGTGTGCTGGCTTTCTTCCATGTTCCAGCTAATAAATCACATGCAAGGACAGCAAAAAAAATACATAAAATACTTTCCTAATGCTGCTCCTTTACGTACGCAATTGCCTTACTTGTCCTGGGGATTATCCTGTGATTCCAAACAGGAGGGAGAATCAAAGAAGGAGCTGCTGCATTTGAGTCAGATGTATGAACACCCCCATGCCCCAACTGATAAAAAAGCTTCTTAAAACTACTTCTCCCAGTCTTTGAAAAACAAACAAAAAAGGTTAGAAATCTGGCTAACTTGACATTGCTAGCCTGACCCTACAGCTTTCTTCAAATGATGGCCACCTCTGAGTTTTGGATATGGTTTTGTGCTTGTGCAAATTTAAAACTGAAAAAAGCCCCTGCTGTAAACATCAAGCTTTACAAATATTCTCATTTTAATCTTTTAACCTAATGCATGTTCTGTCCACGCATGTTATCTGAGTATAGGTATGTAAACTGATAAGGCTCGAAAACATAAATTCTGTTCCATTACCTCGGGAAGCGAACTACACCAGAGAGTTCAAAGGAAGAGGGTGAGGGTAATTGAGTTGACAGAGCTTATTTCTACATCTCTGTGTGAGGCCCAGGGTTATTTATTTTGTATGCACAGTAACAGTTCACATTGTTTCTATCTCCGAACGCCATCCTAAGCATCCATGAGCAGCATTCTTTTCACAGAATCATAGAATGGTTTGTGTTGGAAAAGATCTTAAAAGTCATTTAGTTCCAAATCCCCTGACATATGCAGGGAGACCTTTTTTCCCAATCTCACAAATTTTTCATACTCTTTATGAGCCAAGAAGCCAAAATTATGCTATTATATTAGACCAAGAGGGAAAATAACTGAGAACTTCACTCCCTTGGAGACATACAATGGGTCCTTCAAAACCTGAAGTGATATTTCACCATAAAAGATGAATGAAACATACATTTATAGTCACCACAGAAAAATTAATCTCTTGAAAAGAATATGGTAAAATCAAGACAAATGAAGAGATGGGATAGTGAGCTAGGTAATTTATACATTAGAGGAGAGGTGCTAAATAATCCAAGGCTTTATCAAGTTGAAATAAAATTGAGAAACAGCTGCACAGAATTCTTTGACTTGCTTTAAAGTCAAGATTGATTCAGTTTGTTTTGTTAAATTATTTGGCATGAATCAAACTGCTCTTCTTCTCCTGTAAACTCAGGCTTATGAACTATTTTATTTGGATCAATTTTCAACCTGTTAAAAATACATTCTTAAAAGTTTAACTTAAAACATTTTTAAGGTGAATATAAAGGTAGCATAAAAGGCTTCCAAAGCAGGCCTTAGTGAGCCCTTCTTTTAGCTATTTTAGGGCAAGTTATCTGAGCTTAGACTTTCTTGCATATAACACCTATTTATGATTACTCTTTACTTGTTACTTTATTGTAGGATTAAAAAACAATTTAAAAAAATAGTGTGCAAGATACTGAATAATCAGAAAAAGTACCTACTCTTGCTTCCTATAAAACTCACCTTCTACCTAAAGAGAGAGGATATACAAGGCAGAGATATCTCATATCCTTGGATAACACATTTTTTCAGCTACAGATTATGTTTGAATGAAATTTGAGGATTGGTCCAGAACTTCTGTTTGCAAGACATCTGATAATGCCTACTAAATGTTTGACACATATGCACAAATGAACTCAACTATGTGTGTGCAGTGAATACAGGGGTCCTGGGACAGGGAGAACATAGCACGCATGTTCTGTAGAGCTAATCTGATACATGCATCATTTACCAACCAGCTATACTACTACTGCGTTTAGCTTCCTGCACCTACAAAAGTCCATGTGCATGCTTTTCTGGGAGGGGGAAAAAACTCGGTTGAGATGGGAACTTTGAGATGACCAATATGTATTTTCATTTAATCAGGACCAGCCTACATAAAGTAACACATCCTTCTAAAACAACGAAAAGTATCAGGATCCTACCGCAAAGCTTAAAAAGCTCTGATGCACTTGATAAAATTTTCAGACAATTTAAGCATCACTCAGAAGTACAATTTTTTTGAACACTTATTTCTGTAGTGCACTGTCTCCAGGAAGATTAGAGTCAGGAGCAATTTTTCTTCTCAAAAGAGAAACTGAACTAAGCCTTTTTTTTTTTTTTTTTTTATACTAGTTCTACTTGTCTCATTTCTACACCTGCTTACATTAATTTATGATCCTTTAAAGTTGTCAGCAGTAAGGATGTATTTGCCTGCAGCAATTTTAATAAAAAAAACCCACTTATTTAGGACAACCAAAGTTTCTATTCCTTTTTCTTAGATCTTTAAATTCTCTTTGAGATAATGACATTTGACAGTATTTGCATCATAAATAGTTCAGTACAAAGAATGAATAGTAACAGTGTAATTTTTCAGAGCAACCAGAAGTCTCAAAATCAAGTTTTAAAGTTAAAACTCTACCTCTTTTTCTATGCCTTTAAACTATGATACCAAAATAAAGGTGAAAAAAATTATTGTTCCACTAATGACTTTCAGTAGGCACTTAACATTTAAAACAGTATACACATTATCAAACAAACCGTTTGGAAAGGGCTTTCCTTTTTAATTTTCTGTAGAGAGCAAAGAATGAACATTCATTCAGTTCAGCCCCTCACAGTCTGAGGATGCTCCCTACAAACGTATCCTGACTTGATTTAGTTATTAAATTCAAGCCAAGAAAGATGACTTCATTTATTATGCCTGGAAAGCATCTCATGAACATAAACAATATATCACTTAACCCATTTCTTGAACAGTTCATACTCTTTTCTTTCAGGTTATCAGACATGAAATTAAGACCTACTTAGGCAAAACTCTGTTCTTGGCAGATGAGCAGAGGTATGTTCTCATGTATGAGAACCTTGGTCTTACATCAACAACTCAGGTATTTCACACTGTTGATATCATGGACCACCTAAAAATTTCAGCCTCATGGAAATAATACCAAGGTTCATTAATTTCTTACATAAAATATATGTGTGACTCGATAAACAATAAACATTCTGAATTGCTGTGAATTTTCCTTATTTTAAAATAGATTTTAAAAAAAAATCAAGCAGATGCCGGACTAAAAAAAAATGACAAAAATTGTGGAGCTCAGTGATTTTGGCACCTATGTTTCGTAAAGGTTTTGCCCTTTTTTAGATAGATTTTCGTCAGAAATATAGTTTCAAGAACAGAAGAATATTAGCAGCTCATGGGACTCATTATCAGAATCACTAATGCAAATTACTTCATTTCTTAAATTTGAATATGCTTATCTCAGTCTAAATAACATGTACATTTATTGGTTACCTGGAACTTAAACTCTGACTTTAAGCTTTTGTTACTGGAGAGGTGCTCACTCTCTCTTGTAGCCCTCATGTCTGATCCTGTATCTTCCTCTTCACCCAACGAAGACCCAACCTGTCTGTCCTATCTGTGCTTGTCTGCTGGGCTTATTATCACATGCTCCTCTTATTTTATCAGAATTATCACATCATTTCCTCTACCATTTCATAATAAGTACTGCACTTGGTCCTATCTACCTTTCAGCAGGGATAAAAATATTGTTTCTATCTTAACTCCAGCTATTGCTTCTTTGAGTAATTTAAATATTTGAGATATTTTGTACCAGCATCCATTCTACATGTATTTTAGCTGGCAACTCGTTAACTTACTTTGTGGCATAACCATTATAGGCAAAGCATCAGGAAAACTATCTGAATTTCTTTAGCTTTCAGCAGTGCTTCAAATGTTACTTTTGATTTAGAGGACTCTAGAAATTCTAGGTATATGCAGAAATTAACAGCTACAGCTAACTCAGCTTACATGAAAGGTACAATTTAGCCTTGTGGTAACTTCAAAGCAAAATAAATAGCTGCACCAGAGTTAAAAAACAAGCAAACAAACAAACAAACCAAAACAAAAACCGGTAAGAAAGTATTCATACCAAATACAAGTATTTTGTTATACAAGTCAGAAATGTAAATGGCTAAGACAAAAAAATAAAACCTAAAAAATCCTTAATATTGTGTGATTGCATTTTTTAAAATCTAAGAAAATGAAGCAGAGGATGAGTAATCTTGACAGTATCATCTGAAAATCAATCCACTTCTGTACAACTTGTTAAATATCCATTCCTAGGTAAACATAAGGCATTTTCAAAAGCATGTCCCACTTCTCAAAATGAGTATCACACAAAGGTATACCAATCTCTCAGTGCACAAATTTGTGTACAGATATAGATACAAAACTAATACATACAGCAGAAAGCTGCTTTAAGAGCAATGCATGGGGTATGCACCAGAAGTGCAGTCAGAAGAAGGCTCCAGTTCAGAGATTCTTGAAAGACCTTGTGAAAGGCAGCAAGTACTGTGAAATCACCTACATGGTTTCACTCTCTTTCACCTATGCACCAAAATTTTACACTCTCTTTTTGATATTTTTGTCTGTGATTCATCGTAATTAACGGACAACTCACAGTGTTATAGTGTTCTCTGAATGAATGTCATTCATGGAAAAGGTGGCAACAAATGTCTATGACTTCACTGACCATAACACTCCTGAGGGATGTCTTATCTTTTATTTAGAATTTTGAGAAGTATAAACAGAAAAAACCCCTAAATGGATGGTGTTTTTCTTAGTTAAAATGAATGTAAGATCAATACTCTCATTTTACAATATAAGATTGAATACTGTAGTCCTAACTCAATCTTTGACCAAAGAAAAATTCTCATTGCTCTGAAGTAAGAATTTCCTGAATAACAACATCTGGAGAAGATGTGGTCAAGATTTAGCCCTCTTATTTGTTTCAATATCATTATCTACTAATTAAAGGAAGGAAGACATAATCTCTAATTTCTTTTATAGAAGGAATAGATTATGAAGGATCATTTTAGCTGTTTCCTGGTTGGACACTGAAACAAAAGCGACCCATTTACCATTTCCTCAAAATACATGCTCATATAATAACAAGGTCAGGGAAATATTAAGCAAAGCCTTGGAGGAGTCTCCACCCCTGCCTCCCTGCTTCCCCTCACCTTTTCCACTATCTCGTAGTCCATCTTGAAAGCCCAGAGCTGGAGCCTGGCGGAAAGTTCACTGATGGAGGAGAGGGTGAGAAGGAACTGCTCGGCGCTGCCCAGGGGGACATCAGGATTTGCCAGCTGTGCCTCCTGGATCTTTTGCTTTTCCTCCTCAGTCGGGATCATGGTCAGGATTTTCTGTATAGGGAGACAAAAGACAGGCATCAGTGGCAGGGTATGAGAGATTGCTGAGTAACTTCAAGGCAGCAACAGTAGAAGTCCTCAAGTCCCTGGCTGTTAAATTAGGACAGCACTGTAGTAACCAAGAACTAAGCATGCACAAGAAAGTAAGACACCTACAGTTTGTTGAAAAACATATCTGGATTAAAATCCCTTTTTAAAATCTCTACTCAGTAGATACAGCTAATCATGGGACGAAACACTGAAGGAGAGACAAAGGGAGACTGGTTAGGACTGATCTCACCAGCTTTCATAAGTTTAAGTCAAAACTCAACAACTTTCTGCAAATTACATATGGAAGTAAGGGTAAAAGGAGAGCAGTTTTGTGGCCTGTGATTTATAGCAGATCAGACTAAATTTTAAGGTCTCTTTTAGCCTCAATATCTATGGATCTTCCAGCACACTTGCAAGTATATAAAAATAACTTGAAGACTCCTGTCCCTTGCTGTTCCCATAATTTCTTGCTTTTTGTTCTGTGTTTTTTTTTTTTTTTTTTTTTTTTTTTTTTTTTTTTTTTTTTTTTTTTTTTTTTTTTTTTTTTTTTTTTTTTTTTTTTTTTTTTTTTTTTTTTTTTTTTTTTTTTTTTTTTTTTTTTTTTTTTTTTTTTTTTTTTTTTTTTTTTTTTTTTTTTTTTTTTT